CACTCACTCACTCACTCACTCACTCATCCGGGCATGCACTGCGGTCTCGCAGCTTTTTGATATAAAGTTTTCCTTGTTCCCGAATACAAATATTTTTTAAAGTATTTGTTCAAAATAAGTATTCGTAAAAAACACATTATTTGTGCCTTTCCAAATACTGTATTCGGGTTCGGCTCCACCCCTAGCCACCATACAGTAGTCATCATTTAAACACAATGACTCAAAACTGTTCACACATGTTTCTAAACATGAGAAGAAGCCAAAGAGTGACTAGAACATACAATATGTGCTAGATGAGAGTGCAAGTGCCACTGGTGAGTTGAATTTCGACGTCAACGTACAGATGGGTCACACAGAGGATTCTTCCCGTATCACCCAGCAAGGTGTCCCTATTGCTCACTACCGACAGTAACCGTACTTATGACCAGAGACCCACACAACAATTACGTTTCAAACTACATTTTCAGACAACTTCACATTATATGTGATTGTAGAGCTAAATTATTCCTTATTAGTTATGAAAGATTATTAAATTTCTTACTTACACGGTGACTATACCCTTATTAGAATGCATTTTCCACCATCGCTGATGTATTTACCCGGGNTGCATTTTCCACCATCGCTGATGTATTTACCCGGGACTAAGCTTCTAACTACAGCTCAATAACTGTAGTTCGAATTACGCAACTTTACAACAGTGTTGCTCCACTATGGTCTTGGGAAATGCATCCTAGAACGGAAAGGTTAAAGAGGAGCTTTTTCCCCCAGGTCATAATGCTCCTAAATCAGGACAATACTCAATGCCACTAGGTGCTGCTTCACAGTGTCCAAATCATTGGCACATACCTCAGGCCTCTTGCACATTGCACAGCAAAATACCTCTTACCTATCACTTATTTTTTATCTTATTATTTTTCTTATTTTTTTTTTTGTATTTTGTTACTCTCTTATCATGCACAGCTGCTCAGAGTGACCAGGGTTACATTCCACTACATGTTGTGTGTGTACAGGTGGCTGCCCTTCTCAGACAACTTACTCTGCAAATAGCAAGTTGAGGGAGGCGTAAAAACAATTTTCCCAGGGGGATCAATAAAGTATCAATTATTATTATTAATTATTATTATTATTACAACTGTGTACATGACGAATAACCCTTTTGAATCTTGAATCTTCAATCTTAAATTTTTGTAAAGTACAAATTCTGACCTTCCTGGCAGTATATCACATGTCCTGGGGCAGCATTTCTACATGCCACTTCCGTGGACTTTTAATTTCAGATGATATAGTGCACTTTTGATATGGTTACAGTTTATAGTGTATAATGGATATTTTTAAATCCGGCCCCAGACACATTGATGCGTTTTCATTAAGTACAAATTCCAGCCTTTATAGCAATATATGACTTACTCTGGGGCCTCATTTCTACATGCCACTTCTGTGGACTTTTAGATTATGCAGGGCAGCTTCCCTATTGTTACAGTGTATAGGACCAGATGGATAATTACAAATCCTGCCCCAAACACTTTTAAATGTTTTCGTAAAATACAAATTTAGCCTTTTCTACTACTATATGCCAGGCCTGGGGGACTTATTTCTACATGCTACTTCCATGTTTAAATGTAACAGATCTGCTTTGCAATT